TTTTTTTTTTTTGGTTTCCTTTATTTTCAGCGTTTTCCTCAAGGACCTCGTTATGACCTAGATTTTAATGCCAACAGTTTTTCCTAGGGAAATGGGAAGCAAAATGAGGACATATATCTATTGTTGGATTTTTTGGGAATGTATAAGGTAAGTTTAAGGAAACTAGGAACTGAGAACCTGGGAGATTTGCAAGTTTAATAATATGCACGTTTCTTGAGCCATAAAGAACGTGAAGTCCCACATAAAGCTAAGCCCTTATACACATCAGGTACAGTTTTATACACGTATCATACATGATGCAGTCTGCTCTCAAATGCAAGTGCCATCATCCCCTTTTTGGACATGGGGTTACTGTAAGGCTAAAGGGCCACATGTAGGGAGATGCATTTAGATAGACAACCCTGAGTACATAATTAACTATTTCCAGTCAGACTGCTCAAACTGTCTTGTTAGCAAATTTCACAGCAATGTTTGCTGGAACCTTATATAAGACACATTTACTTTAATTATTTGGGTGGAAGCACAAGCTACTTCCATTAGTTGGCAATAATCTGGTTCTCCACAGTGTATAAGAGCTGATAAAGGGCTCCCTGGGTGTGTGCTGTGGGTGGAGAAACCCTGGTAATAGTCACTTCTATGTTTCAGACCATTCCTAACTCTTAACAAAGCAATGCAAATTGGGGTGGCTGCCTCAGCCCAAATCCTAATCAGAGGCAAGTGCTGACGAAGCAGAAAAGGCACCTCTGCCCCTGATGGAAGGAGTCCTGGTGGCACAATGATTAAGGACTAAGCTGCTAACCCAAAGGCTGGCAGTCAAACCCAACCAGTGGCTCCACAGGATAGGGCTGGGAATCTGCTTCTATAAAGAATGCAGCCTAGGAAACCCTGTGGGGCAGGTGTACTCTGTCACATGGGGTTGCTGTGAGTTGAAATTGACTCGACGCCCCCTAAAAACAAGCCATAGTGGACATCCTATCCTATGTTCCCTGCTGATACTATTTACCTGAGGAAAAACCTGTGTCTTAAAGCAGAGACACCGCTGAAGACATACACAAGCAAGGGCCTCCTCCCCCTCCCTTGGACATTAAACCAAAACCAAACCAAACTCACTGCTATCAGGTCAACTCTGCCTCATAGCAACCCCTCCTCAGGTTTCTGAGAGAGTATCTCTATGGAAGTAGATTGCCCGGTCTTCCTTCCAAGGAGTGGCTGATGCGTTTGAACTGTCAGCCTTCTGGTTAGCAGTCAAAGGCCTTAGGCACTACGCCACCAGAGCTCCCTTGCCACATTAAGGGCAGTTTTAAAAAAAAAATATATATATCAGTTGCCATTGGGTTGAGTTGATTTCAACTCATGGCATCCCATGTGTATCAGAAAAGAATTGTATTCTACAGAGTTTTCAATGGAAGTCACCATAAGGCAGAATCAACTAGATGGCAATGTATTTTTCTGTTTATTTACTTGTTTTTCTTTTTTTAATTGTGATTTGGGTGAAGGTTTACAGAGCAAATTTACTTTCTATACAGCGGTTCACATATACTTTGTCTCATGACACTGACCACAGTTTACCACAATGCAACAGCTCCCCTCCCCATGCACTCCTCCTGCTCCTGAGCTATCTCCCTGTGCATAAGCAGCCCTTCTTTCTCCCCTGATTGTTCTCTCCAAGGAGTGTATCTACTTGAGGTAAATGTTCAACTCATATGCCTGTCTTTTGTTTGGTTGGAAACCACAGGTGTGGGTTCAATTCCAGACCTGAAGGGCAGCTAGGGGCCATAGTCTCAGTGGTTCCACCAGGCTCTATTGGACCAGCAAACCTG